GTTTCCGTCTCTCTCGCCGCTTCCTCTTCCTCTCTCGCTCTTTCGCGAAGCCCGTTCCAGCTTCTGCGTGTATACGCCTCTGCCCCGCCGCTCTCTGATGAAATCCGGTCGCGTTTGATCGATGCCCTCGTAATACGCCTCGAATTCTCATTTTCGTTCTATTATTCGGGGACGGTCGCGCGGATAGGCCCGCCGGTCGGCCGCATAGGAAAATCATCGGGAGACTGGAGCAGCCGAAAGGTCACATTTTTCGCGACACACGCCGGCCCCGCGGAATCTGGGGCTGCCGCTAGTCAAAGGCACCGCGGAAAATGTGAGTATGCTTACGTACGAACGGAAACGTTTCTGTATCGCGAATAACTTCCTCCGCGGAGAATCGTGTCGAACAACGATCCTGCGATGATTACGAACAAGATATCGGGAATCGACCGACGATCGTTGTCTTCGATGATTTAAGACGCGCGATACAATCGGCGCTCTTTCGTGTCGATGCGAAAGGGAGAACGGAAGTTATTTACGATTCAATGTAACGTTTACAGACCGAGTATAATTCAATCGATATAAATTTATTGGCGTCCGATTTACGGTCGCCTCGTGCAGTCTCGGTCGCAGCATTTATTTCGTGTTTTAACGCGGAATATTTCGCTGCGAATCGGTTAACCGTAGAAGCTGTCTCGGATTTTTCTCTATTTGTTTCTCTTTCTTTAACGCTAAACGCACCGACAGTTTGTGTCGAAATAAATGTAAACAAGTTGGATCGGTTTCTTTTAGTGAACAGGAACAGAAGGAAAGAGAAGCATTAAAAAACTGATTAATCGGACAATAGAAGCGATAAAAAGGTAAATAGACGGAAAGGTAGAATTTTAAACGAAATTTTAAGATCGGTTATTTGACCGGTAGCGGTACATTCGGTATTAACAGAGAATTATGGCGGCGCAAGGTTTGAGAAAAGTAATCCGTCAGATCGGTCAGCGTCCGGGTTGCCAAACTTGTGAAAGCATTATCCTCGCGCAGTTCGTTTGCGTAACGTAAATCCGGTGGCAAAATCCTGGCGTTCACGCGGCCTGTTTTTTCCAGGCCGCGCTTTAAGCTGCTTCGGATTAGCCGGGCAGCCGCGATATTAAATTTTCCCCCGTTGCCAGTGATTCTTCCCCTTTTTTCCTCTCGCTCGGCCAAGGAGGAAGTCCTTATTTATCATTATTTTCGTTCTCCATCCTCGAAGGATATTTGAACTTGCCGCCTAATAATGGCAGCTTAACGCGCATCCGGCAGGCATTTATTGCGACATCAGCTGAACACTAGGATTTTCGTTTTTCCCCGGCACACTTTGTTTTACACGATGAATACAATTTATACTTTTTTCGCGAATATATCTCTGTACGGTATAATCAATGTTTTAATCCGTTCATGTTCGAAAAAAGGGTGGCTTGTTTGTTGCAAGAACGATCAGTTTTCGAACTTTTCAATTTTATCCGCTGATCACAAACTGACGAATTTTCCAATTTGTTATTTTTGCCTTTGGTAACTGCAATGATTAATTCCCCGGTGTTCTAATTTCACTCGTCGGTAATTGCGGCATAACGAATTTCCGAATGTTCGAAACTCGGTCGCTGATCATAATGCAACGAGCAGTTTCCTAATTCTCTAATTTCGCTCAGTGACAATCGTAGAATCACGTGTTTTCCAATTATGCACGCCGCTGATTGTAACGCGACCAATTCCCGTCGTCCGGTCGGACACGCGTTAACGGCCGAGCGAATCTCGTTCGGTCGTTTTACGGGGCGGGAGTCTTCGGAGTCGGTCGCCACTCGACAGGTAGATATCCGTCGTTATTTACGTAACGAGACGCGCTCCGCGCGTCGCTCGCCGAGGAATAAGGACGTAAATAGTGGCATGTTTTGCATCGGTTAAAATAGCTTTAACAAGGCAAGTGGTAACTCGAGTGTCTCATCGGCAGCCGGTGGATCGTCGATTGTACTCGAGCGCGAACCACTTCCGTGCCAGTGATTTTCATTCAGGCCGCGTAAATAGCGAAAAACAAATGCGTGTTACGTAGCCGTTGGTCTCGCAGGGAGCGTTCGGTGTGTAATTATTAAAAGCGATCTCCGAGCGTCGCGTCGACGCGATTTCAGAATACGCTCGCTCGGATTTTCTCTTCTTGTTGTCTCGCAACGATTGTCCCGACTTGTTCCACGGAAATTTGAACCCGCTCGCATTATTGGCCCCTTGCACCGCCATTCAGCCGAGTAAAACCCGGCTAACAATGATAGCGACCGATATTTTCCTTTTTAACCCCTTGCCGCACAATGACGGGTGAGACTCGCGATAAAGATTTCCAAACTAATTTAACCCTCTGTGGGCCCATGTAACTTTGAAGTCACATATCAGCATATTGGCATCTTGTTGATTTATTTCATTCTGCATTCAAAGTGGTGAATAAAATCAAGTAATCAGTTAACTTAAATTTTCATACACTCAGGCGTGAAAGTATTGAATACATTGTTAATTTGTATTCGTATGTGGACATTTATTAATTTTGTACTGCATAGATTTTGTTATAGTCATGAACAAAAATTCGGCCCATATTGGCTTAACGAGAATCAGTGTTGTTCATTACCCACGGATCAAAGCAAACAACTATTTTGCTATTATCGATGTATTATCTTCGAATGAAATTTCCACCTGAACTAGAGTGGAAAATTTTGTTATATTTCTTACAAATTGTCGATAGTAAAGTATTACACGAGCTTATTATATTTTATATCATTTCAATTTCGTATCTGTATTCCACGGTGAAAAATAGGCACCGATATTTCTCGTGTGCGATCCCGAGACTGTTCGTGACATTTATGTCTGCCTCGAGATTATAACCGTGAGTGAGAGCAAAGTAGTGGAGCTGGTTAATTGAGTAGCTTAGGATACTAGCGGTCTAATTCCTATTTCTGAGTCCTCGGGGAGACATTTCTGCTAAACGCTTTCGGAGTAATTCATTGTTCAGAGCAATTGTAACGTTAGCGTTCGAATTAGTTAAAAGAATTTATGATTACTGCAGCGACGAGTGTATGGGGTAATTAATATTGATATCCTCGAAGGTTCAATTCATTAATTTGTAGAGCTTCTAGGATAAAATTTGTTAGGCTCTTATAAAGTACAAGCACAGGTCGTTGCTCGGTTGAGAATTTTCAAGCTACATTTTTTAGAATTTTTAGGGACTGACGTTAACCAACCAGCGTGGTTTTTCGAGCTTCAATATTCCAGAGGCGATTCTTCACAAGGAAAATTAATTTGGCCAAAATATTGCCGAGATAAACGTCAATGTGGTGTGACGTAAAAACCGATCCATTATTCCCTTATAAAACCAACAAAAGTCTCCGCAATATTATTTTAGCGATCATTTATAATGCATAAAGTTATCGGCGATGCGCTCGTGACAAATGCAATTTAAGGGAAGTTTATTATCTCATAATCATCGCTTCCCTTCGGTCACGTGTAATAACCGTGTCACTACATACAACGTCTGCAGCCATCCATTTGCCCTTTTTTTGTCGGAACAAAAGCCGAATTCATTGTTCTTTAGACAGGTGATAAAATATTTTCGAACGGCAACGTACACCGGTGTACGCAGCGCGCATTTGGTATGTATGAAAGGGGAACAAGACGCCCTTTCGTTCTATCTCCCTTTTATATTTGCCTCGCGCAATCACGTTAACGTTTGCAGTAAAATATCCTACGGCGCTGTTCCCCGCAATGTCCACGTTTTCAATAAGCCCCGTCCGCGGCGAATTGCGCGCTGCAAGACGGAGAGCGAAATGCGAAACATGATTTGCGAGGAGAACGTTTCCCAACTTCATTCGCGGAACTTTCCTCGAACTTCTTTCACTCTGGCATTGGCTTCTTGATGAAGTACGCTTTACCTTTCTCCCGCCTTGCCAGACATTCCACTGTTTCGCCGACTATTATTATCAATATTTCCCAAAATTATGTTCCGAAAGTACTCTTTAACGCAGAGATAATCACTTGAAATTCAACGATCGCGAGATCATTAACCCTTCGAACTCTGTCGACTCCAATATTGCACCAGTTGTAATATTAAATATTTTAGTGAATCTTAAAGAAACTATAAAATTATTAGATTTACACATCCAAATTTTGTACTAAGGAAAATAAAAGATCGAAGAAATGTTATAGCATTTCTCATTTTCGCTAGGAATACTGTAAAAATTAGTTACAGTTGCTGATAGATTACAAAACAACCTGGAGTGCTAAGGGTTAACAGGATACCTCCGTTGAATTCTTCATAACCAAATTCATTCTACCTTCTCGAGTCCTTTCCACGCGTGTTCACCTTATACAATCGATACACGATCAGTCCGTGGCGATAAAAAAATCGGAAGTTCCCCGGCGATATCAATACGCGCCGAAATCGCTGCAAGAAGATTGAAGCGATTCGACAAAAGATGGAGGAGTCGCGGACGTCTCCGGAAGATCAATCGCGTGACAATTGAACGTCTCGGGGGAGATCAGTGAATGAGTCGAGTCACGGAGCCGACAGTGACAAAAGACGAATCAGGTTTCAAATTTTTCCTTTTTTTGCCTCTTTGTTACACGGTTCAGGGAATTCAGCGGAGCACGAGGCTGGGGGCAGACGGCAGACGTAACTCTGCAGTAAATATTTGCCCGTGAATGAAACGCGCGTCTTTATTCGCCATTTTCCTCGTTGCCTTTGTCTTCCCTCGGGCTAGTTTGCTGAAGTCCCTCGAGCGAAATCGTTACGCCCAACGAAAGAAACGAATTACTTTCGAGGACGGTTCATTATTTCGATTATACGGGGGGGCTAATTTATAAAGGAGAACCGCTGCGAACGGATTTCCAGACTTTTCATCCGCGGGCAAGCCGGGTTCACCGAACAACCGAGTTCATTGTAATTGCCGGTGTCCCTGCCACTGGACACATTTTTCACCTTCCATTCGATCGCCGATTGAATAATTGAAATCGCCATTATGAAGTTATACTGATCAAATTTGGGTGTGTCGAATTACTTTTGCTGGAAACTATTAAATAAACGAATTCGTTCGTTTATGGAACGAATAATGCGGTTCAATCAACTAATTTGATTGCCGTTCCATTCGATCGTCGGTTAAATAATTGAAACGGTATTATGAAGATACACCGGTCAAATTGGATTTGTCCAGTTACTTTCGCTGGAAACTATTAAATAAACGAATTCATTCGTTTATGGAACGAATAATGCAGTTCAATCAACTGATTTAATTGCCGATCGTAATTGCCAGTGGCCCTAGCACTGAACATATT